CTAAAAGAAAACAGTAAGGTCATGTGTATTCTATAGAAAGTATGCCAATCTTTTACAAACTGAGCAGCAGTTATATCATAAAATGAGATAGATCATTTACACATCAGCAGGAAAGAAGCAGGGGGAAAGAGAAAATGGAGATTTCCTCAGTAAATGTGCATAAAGAAAAAGGAGTATTAAAAAAAAAAAAAAAGAAAAAACCCACAGCAACCAATCAGATTAAGCAAAAATAACAAAAAATTTAATTAATTCCAGTAGCTGCCCACACCCTATGCCACTCTCATATAAACAAAGATAATACCACTTAAAAACAAAAACAGTGCAGCACTACTTCATAAGAATCCTGTACACCCTATACAATTGTTTTTTTTTTCTTATGTGCATTAACCAAAATCATACCAAATATTATATATTGTGAAATGTGCATTAATAAAAGCATCCCACATAAAAAAAAAAAAAAAAAAAAAAAAGTATTTGTGCCTTTTGCAACTTGTTTCATGGATGTCACCACTTCCTCAGGAGGATGGAGACATTAGAACAGTAGATTAACCACTTGCCACCCAAGGACATCCCTGTACATTCAAGAGCTTGAGTGGGTTGACCGAGGCCATTGTAGCAGCAATGACCTTGTATCAGTCTTTTCAGCCGAAGATGCTGATTAAAGCAAAAGCGATCTGAGGGGCTAATTGGCCATTGGATTGCTTTAAACAGGCGGCGGGAGGGGGTCAGCTGTTCCTTTGGCTGACCATACAGCTGACCAAGGACTGGAACTTTCCCAATCATCTCCATGGTCTAGGAAACCGGAAGCAATGAGTATTTTGTCACTTCCGATTTGTCTAATGTAAACGGACAATTACTGGCCTGTGAAACATCAGATCAAACCAACCTTGGTTTGACCTGATGTTTTGAAGGGCAGTGGAGAGATCTGAGGTCTAATAAACCCCAGGTCTTAATGAACAATACCTGTCACTGCCTATGCTATCACAAGGGATTTTGTTCATCCCCTGTGATAAGAAATATTTTAAAAAAAATATTAAAAAAGTGTAAATATAAAAAAGTAAAGCGCATCTCTCCCCTTGTGCTTGCACACAAAGGCGAATGCATACACAGGTTACATACACATATGTTAACGGTGTTCGCACCACACGTTTGGTAAAGCCGCAAACGTTATAGCAAGAGCAATAATTCTAACAACAGACCTCCTGTGTAATTCTAAACTGGTAACCTGTAAAGGTTTTTAAAGCATTGCCTACACGTTTCGTCATCTATGACGAAACGCGTAGGGCGGGGCTTGATTGATGTGACGTCATTACGTTTCTCAGCGATCTACTGCGCATGTGCCGAGTGGCTGGGTTCGTTTTCACTGTGATTCCTATATGCTGTTAACGCTGGTGTCGGCTGGGACACCCTTTGAGATACGTGCAATGAGTGCATAATAAATGAAGTTGTTTTTTAACAATACTGCACCATGAAGTTTTTATAATCTGATTATAATCTGATTGATTGCTGTGTAAAGCTGTCCATAGACTGTTGGAAATTCAGCAGGGACTAGCCAAATTTTGATCTGTGCAAGGCCATCCCTGTTCAACAGAAGTTGATCGTTAGACTTCTTGATAATTGACTGCAAAATCCTAATCATAATTATCTGTCTGCAGGAGGGATGAATAACGGGGAGAATTCGATTAAAACACTAAATCCAAAATGAATAAAAATTTGAGTCGTTGAATGTCTGCAGTTCCAGGGGCAGAAGTTACTGATCAAGCACAAACATTTGTTTTTATCTAGGGGGAAAAAAGGATTTCCCTTGTGAAATCATTTATCGGCACTTTTTCTAACACGCAACTTGTCTTTTTTCCAGTTGGCTCCGGCACAGAAATTGTTTCTCAGTGTTTAAGAAACAGTCCTATCAGTGAGAGCACAGCTTCCCTTGAGAGTGTTGTACTAAGATAACGTCAAGTAATCTGACAGAGAAATAAGAGATGTGTTTTCCCAGTTATCCCCAGGGTAGGCTCAGTGAGCACAGAGAATGCCGCACTCTCAGTTTTCTATGCATGCACTAAAACTAAATGGATACAGTCATACAAGAACTTAGTTTGGCGTCACTGCTGTTCTTTCTCATAGGTATAAATTATTGGTTTAAAATAGACAATGGAAGAACCATTTACCAATCCAGACATATAAATCATGCTCAGTGTTCCAGGCTTACATAAAATGAAAACTTCTAAGAAGACACTCTTAGGACCCTTCCAAAAAAAAAAAAAAAAAAAAAAAAAAAAGAAAGAAGAAGAGTGCTTCAAGGTTATCTAGTGTCCCCCACACAACACATCCCACACAGCTTGTTATCTTCAACAAACATAAGTATCAAACAAGTCACGTTTTATGTCCAAGGTCTATTAGAATTTCATTTGTTTGAGAAAAAAGTAACAGTGGAACTAAAACAGAGGGCACAAAGGCCTAGTGCATTATTGTAAAAAATTTATTGGAAGGATAAAAAGTAAGTATCGTACTCACAATAGGCAAACAGGTCAAAGGCACATCGCACTAAACAGCGGTGTCCAATCCACATTGCATACAAGTCCAAAAAATGGAACCCAGGACTTCCAAAAGGCTGACGCATTTCGAGGTCTCAACCTCTTCCTCTGAGCCACCAAGCAGTGAGTCTGTGTCTCTCTTATATATGTTAGCTGTTGCAGATTCTAGAAACACATGTGGGCTGTCCCAGGTTGCACCACAGATGGAGACTGGCGTCACATGAGCTGTTCTTACATGCCATCATAAATAAGAATGAAGCATAAATGCAGACATCGTTTGAGTGATAACATATAAAATAAATAATATAAATCATAGTACCACAGATCACATAAAACACGTGGAAAGCATAAAAAAAATTAATAAAAAGTGTTTTATGTGCTCTGTGGTCCTTATATGATTTATGTTATATGGTATCACTCTGAGGAAGAGGTTGAGACCTCGAAACATGTTAGCCTGTTGGAAGTCCAGGGTTCCATTTTTTTTGGACTTATATGCAATGTGGACTGGACACCGCTGTTTAGCGTGATGTGCCTTTGACCTGTTTGCCTATTGAGTTTGAGTTTGTGTTCAAAAAAGTCCCTGACCATTTCCAAAAAACACACCAGATGAAAATGCGGAGATGTAAACGTGTCCCATAGGAAATCATGTTAAATGGACTGTGGTGCGTTTCTGCAAAATGCTTAGGTGTGAACCTAGGGTAAGGATATGGCTGCTAGCAAAGGTCTACAATAAACAAATATCACAATATAAACAATGCATTAAGCTTCCCCATAGGGAAAATTAGCACAATAACAAATCCTATTACAGAACATACTGTATCTGCACCACACATTGCACCCCAGGGAAAGCAGGCGGGGAGGAGGGATAGCAGAAAGAGAGAGAAAGAAAAAAAAAAGGCACATTGTATTGTATATTGTAGACATTTGTTACCAGCCATATCCGAAGACTATGCAAGCAAATGGATGTTGAAGAAACAATTTATATTCAAAACGTGTTGATCCACCCAGTCCTATATGATTATTTAACATACAATTGTTCTGGTGACTCTAATGATATGTCTTTTAACTGAATTTTAAAGTACAAATAAAATGAATTACTGTTAATATTTGTTGGGCTATTGGCACATATACAGTCCCCATATTCCAGTCCTCCTGAGGGTTGCCTGGAAATCTTTATCTTTTGTATAAGTATTGAATGGGAGATGGTAACTTGTATCCAAATTCACAGGAAGTTACCACTTCTACAATAATGATTAATATGGTAAAGGTTTTGCACTATGCAACTGTATGTGATACTTAAAACATTTGAAGTACTGGCATTATCTACATCTGCATTAATTTCTATGTGCAGCATTAGGTGTTATTACACTACAATAATAATAATAATAATATTATTATACAGGATTTATATAGCGCCAACAGTTTGTACAGCGCTTTACAAAATTGAGGTAGACATTACAGTTACAATATAATTTGGTACAAGAGGAATCAGTGGGCCCTGCTCGTTAGAGCTTACAATCTAGAAGTACTACATTATTCAGTAACTATAATCACCAACTAAAAAAAGTGGATTTCAGTGTAGCAATTGATTCAGGATAATAACCCGCCTGTTAATCTAATCATTAATTTGTTATTAAACCCACTGCAATAAAGCGCATATCACTTACTACTAAATGACATGTAGCTGATCTGTGCAGATCTACCCAATTCCCTGTCCATGGGTCTCTCATGGAAACTGTAGACAGAGAGGTAGGCAGATGCCTTTGACTTCTACTAGTGCATGCACATTTGAATACTGCACGCAATGGGACATGCATTGCTAGCGTCAGCCATGGGGGAAATATTGAGTGCACACATCCCGTGATGTGAGACAGAACTGCAGGTATAGAAGAAATTGAGTAGTCATTGATAAAAATACAAGATTTCTTCTGAATAGTGGAGAAGGATGCAGCCTGACTCGTTTTAGTTCAGGTAGCAGTGAGGAAGTCACCCATACTGCTAAAGGAATGGTCCTACTGTAACCATACAGCAGTCCATTAGAGCACACAAAATCTGCATCATTCCGTAAAAAAAATATTTTTTATTTGGGTCAACTCGGCCCTGAACACAGACTGGTTGCATTCAGGACCAATCACTCCATGAGCAATTACAGGCAAGTGGCTGTGATTACCTGAGAGCTGTCACCCTCTCAATGCTTTCAATGGGGCTGCCTCCTGTAGTTAATTGCCACGACCCCCCGCTGGGTCTCCTGCATGTATCTGGTAATGGCCCCATTCATAAGTGTGAATGGGACCTAATACTACTTTAAGCAGTTACCTATATAAACAAGTAGCAGGACATAATGAAGCCAAATTTGAACCAGCTGTGGAAGTTGTCTCCCAGATCTCTCTTATGTTATTCAGAGTATTTATTCTTCATAAGTAGTAATGTTAGAAAAGTATACAGCATGCCAGGGGGCTCTAATAAATG